AGGTCTCCTGAGTCCCAGTGCACTAACCATTAACCATACTGCCTGTTAGTGAAGTGATGCTGGTTCTCATCCCACAGTTGTCTGAAATTGCCTGCAGCCCCTTAGCTTCCTTTATTCCAAGTCACTTGCATTCTTGCAGGAGAAATCTTTCAGCCAGAAATCAGTTTGTGAAGCATCTATAGGTGCTAAGGTGAACATTGAATGTATTATTACTTTTGAGATTTGGGTACTATAGAGCCCAGCCCTGACTCATATGAGTGCTCCCAATGGAGTCAGACCCTTTTTAATACAAGCCATTCTTCAGGGCCCAGGGCTCCCTGGATGGCAATGCACCTGTTTACACCAGGGAGAAAATTTAGTCCTGTACATGCAACATGTTATCATTATACAATTATGCTTTTAGAAGCTGAGCTTTTCTTGTAATAAAATGATGAATGAGTATTGAGCACTCTCATAAATAGAGTATTTGGAGATATCACTCAGAGCTTAATTGGAATGCAGTCATTTTAGGCGGCCTACCCACTATTTTTACAATGCTATAATTTTCTATTATAAAATGTATTTTTCTGTTAAACTCCATGTAATCAGTTTTTGGTCTCTCACTCTCCCACTTCCTTTGTGTGTGCACGCTTTCATTTCTTTAAAGGGGTGGCATTCATCGTTTGGAATACGTGCTGAGGCTGCTGATTCTATTTTTGGATCTGTTATTCTTGGAGAAAACACCCTTTAATTGGGGTGGGGGTGAAAGAGGCGGGAATAGGAGGGGAGCTTTAGGAAGGAAAGCGTTTAGCTGAAAGCGTCAACTTCAGAATGCTTCCAGCTTGTGTCAGTTCCCCCCGGGGCATGAGAATCTTACGGTCATTTCTAGGATTGGTGTCCTGTATAGCAGTGCAGAACTGCACAGCTGTCAAACTACCAAGCTGGATAAGAGTGCCCTTTCTACAAACTTACATACATTTTTAAAATTTAAATTACATGGCTCCCCTTCAACTCTGCCAGGATCCTGAAATGTTATCAGCTTTCCTGCATGCTTTTGGTAAAGCAGAAACAGAATGAAGCTTGAGAGAAATGCAGAGTTAAAGTAAATGAAATCTAGTCTCTTTCCAAAAAGTGAGTTATAAGTAGTTTCAGGTACAACATCTGTCCCTCCATCCCCCTGCTAACTTTTATAGTTTTACAATCACATTTCCCCTATCTTTGAATTGTTTCTCTCTCTTCCTTACTGCTACATGAAAGACCTGCACAAATAGGGAAAACTGATTGACTGTCCAGGAGATACAGTGAGATTGACTACACACAGAGTGCTGTGAAATACACCGCAGAAACAACCTGATATATGTGCTTCCAATCTCTCTCCGTTACAGTGATCTTGCTGGTTATCAATTGTAGGTTAAAAAACATTAGACAAATGTAATTTTTAAGATGATGGTGTTTCTTTAAAACAAAACGTTAAAAGATAATGGGGCAAAGGAAATGTCATTCCCTATAACTGTTATTAGGATGCAAATACCTAAGAAGGAAGTCATCTCTTTGCAGCCACCTTAAAAGCTATTTACTGTCTTACACCTGCTTGGATGACTTGGCAGATTTACTTTTTTTTAATGGCTACTTTAAACGGCTATTTTGTAGCATGTCATATGGGATCTGTTGGGTTAATTGTGAGGAAAGTTAGTTAGCCGAACATAGTTAAGCCCAAAACTGTGTAACGAATCAATTTGTTGCAAACAACAGACATGGATCAGGCTGGATCAGACACATATCAAGGGATCTCGGATGAGAACCCTTGTTCTTCAGATCTAAAACACTTGCTTCAGTCATTTGAGCTAACCAAAGTCTCTTGTAGCTACTTGTAGTATTAGGTCCTGTTTTCTCTTTTTGGCCAGCCTCTTCAGAGCAAAATCATTCACTCAGTCATACATACAAGCCAGTGTGTTACAACCATCACTTTCAGCCTTTAAATCAAGACTGGATATCTTCTAAAAGAGGTGCTGTAGCTCAAACAGAAGTTATGGGGCTGACGCGGAAATTCCTGTGAGAGGTTCTGCAGCCTGTGTGACGCACAGGGTCAGATTAAATTATCATAATTGTCCCATCTGGCAGTAAAGTCTATTAACCAGAAACCAGGTAACCTGGATTTTATTTCCAGCTCTGACAAAAAGTTACTGGCTTAGGGCAGTCACGCTCACTGTCCCTCAGTTTCCCTGTCTGTAAAATGGGGACAATGGTAGCAGTGTTCTGTGTCCCAGTTCACTGATGCATTTAAAGCCCTTTGGGATTGCGGGAGGGAAGATGAGTCAGCACTGCACCGTAACGAGCTGGTGCATGTGCACCACTCCCTGCTACTCATGTCATCAGTGCTAGTCTGTGCGGTGAAAGAGGTTTTCCTGTAGCTCAAGTGGAAGGGGCCTATGGTTTTGAGGCAGATGGAACTCAGTTCTATCCCCACTGTCACCAAGAGGCCACAGTATGGTGACAAGAGTGAAGTGCTACATGGCTATAGATTTTTGCCGTGAGAGTATAGCACTCTCCTAACTGGCCGTGCTTTCACACGGGCTGACCGTTTTCTGCAATGGCTTTTGTTTCATGTAGAAAGAACAGCCCTGCATATAAACAAGAGTTCTCGAGGACGTGGGGGATTTGCCTGCTCCAAAACAGGCCTTGGAGAGCAGGCTGGCTTGCGCTAAAAAGTGACTTAGGGCTGGAGGTAGTCCCGAGGCAGCTGTTTTTGTGCTTAGAAGCGATGTCATCGTTTTCCCAAGGCCTTGGCTTGCCAGCTCCCACATAGTAACCACCAAACAATGGCTTGTTGGGCATGGGGGTGGGCAAGGAGGGGAGAGATAACTACAAGGTCTCAGCTGGTTATTGATCTTCCCTGGGTGGGAGGAGGAAAGCAGCATTGCATGAGAATTCCCCTGCCCAGAGGGAGACACGCTGGAAAGTCTGATCCCTGGGTTCACACCGATGCTTTCCCATCCCAAAAAGCAACGTTTGGTCAACGTTTAGGGTGGTCAGATCCAGCTGTCCTTCCTCAGGAAAAGCCAACAGATTTGGTTTGACCAGGGGTTTGCTAACCAATTCAAGCCAACATCCTGGGAGAGTGAGGAGAAGGAGGCGACCCAGCTGCTGCTCTGATGGCCGATTTCCCCCCCCCCCCCCCCCCGCTATCCCTGGCTAACCACCTTCAGCCAGCCGCAGCCCCACCCTCTCAGCTGTATGACCCCAGGAGCAGGAGGTGCTGTGCTGGGTTGGAGTGGCAGCCAGCAGGGACCCTAGTACTCCACATGGCAGCTGAAGAGGTGCTCAGCCTATCAGAGAGCTAAAGGGGGGGAATTATGAGGAAGCGGTGGGGGGAATAGAATGTGGGGAAGCAAGAAGAGAGATCTCGAGGCTGGATGGAGGAGAAGAGACAAGGGCGTGGGGAACAGGTTGCAGGAGAAATCCAGCAACATCATGAGCCAGTGCAGGCTGGGTGGGAAACCTCCAAGCCACCAGCATGTCTATGGCCTTCCAGCATCAGGGGAGTGGGTTAGCCGTCCCCCCGATTGTCCTCCCCTGCCTGTGCTTCTTTGGAAAATTACCCATAGAAAATGGTATAAACTGCACTGGTAACTGTGCAGTGGGAGTATTGCCTGAGTGAGGACTGCAAGGTTGGGGCCTTGGGGATGAAACAGCATTAACGCTCTCTCTTTGTGTGTCTCTGGAGTTTCCAAGGGGTTAATAGATTCAACGTGAGTCTGGTTGTTTTAGAAGTCTCTTCTGCATGTGACAGTGTTACTATATCCCTAGCCAGCTGGAGGAAATGTCTCCTGTTTTCTGGGATATCGCAAGTGGAGGCTCTTTTGGAACCGTTTGAAAGAGGAAACATCTGACAGATAACACTCGGAGGAACCCATTAATATCAGGTTTTCGGTTTTGGGTGTAGGCTTTTTTCTTCCGAATCCCCTTTTGAAGCACAAGCTGCACGGGTGGGGGCCTTTGAACGGTAGCAGAGTGGATTTGGTAATACTCTTGGAGATAAATGTGAGCGATACAACCATTGCATCAAAGAGGCAAAGCCGTAAGTGTTAGACCCCCGTACATCCATGCCGCAACTTTGACCCCAGTTCTTTGCACAGTTGGTTCTAAACATGGTCAGTGCCCACAAACCACATGGCTAATACTCAGTTACTGATGATGGCAGCTAACCATGTCTCACCTTTGTAAGCACTGTAGGTGATGGGATCACTTAACTGGGTTTGCTGCTTAGCCAGTTGGCCAGTCCTCCTAGCTCTCTGTTCAGTAGGAGATCCCAAACATGCTGTTGTTTGCTCTCCATGTGTATGTCCCTTGGATCGTCTATCCTATGCCAAGGCAATATGGGATAGCTGTGTTACAGCGCTAATAACACTGCATGTTAGGAAGGAAACTGGTCATGCCATGTCATTCATGGCATACCGGGCACGCTTTTATTATTCTTATTTATTCAGATAGTGATGTACATAGTCATAGTGCCTCGCAAAACACAAAGAGCTTAGCATGTAATTCAGGCAATGCAAACACGGGCAATAAATTGGGTCTGGGAGGATGTGGGAGACATCACTGGGGAGAAATCAGTGGGAAAGGATTCCTGGAGGGATGTGGAGGAGGAAAGAGGGCAAATGGGGATAAGAAACGGGAAGCTGTCCCAGGCATAGGGAACAACCTGAGTGCAGGCCTGAAACTGAGAGTGGAAAGAGGGGACAAAGGGAGAGAAGACTGAGAGAAGGAAGTGGAGAGCACAGGGGGAGGTGGAGAAGAGATCATGGAAGGCTTTGAGGAGCTTGAATCTCACATAGCTCCATAATGTGTAGGGAGCAGTGGATTTTGTGAGCAGCATTTTGGAAAGAGGAGAAGTAAGAAGTAGGGAAGCAGGAGAGAAGAAGGTTACAGTGTTTGAGATAAGAGGTGACCATGGCACAGTCAGCTTTACTGATACTCAGAGACCTACTCTCTAATTCCTTGCTGTCTGTATTTTGTTCTAGGGCTCTAAATGAGAATATGGCCAATGGCATTGAAGATCTTATTGGGATCCCATTCCCAAATCACAGCAGTGAAGTCCTTTGCGGTTTAAATGAACAGCGGCACGATGGTCTACTCTGTGATGTCATCCTCATTGTCCAGGACCAGGAGTACAGGACCCACAGGTCTGTCCTTGCAGCCTGCAGCAAGTACTTTAAAAAACTCTTCACTACTGGCACTTTAACAGACCAGCCCTATGTTTACGAGATTGACTTTGTCAAGCCTGAAGCACTTTCTGCTATCCTAGAGTTTGCCTACACTTCAACCCTCACCATCACCACCTCAAACGTCAAGCACATCCTCAACGCAGCCAAGATGCTGGAGATCCAGTGCATTATCAATGTATGCCTTGAAATCATGGAGCCTGACAGAGAAGCTGAAGAGGAAGATGATAAAGAGGATGAAGATGACGATGATGACGAAGAAGATGATGATGATGAAGAGGAGGAGGAGGAGGAGGAAGTGGAAGATTTTGTGAATCAGGAGAACCTCACAGATGTCCAAGAAGTAAGCTGTCACCAAAGCCCTTCAAAGTCTGACCTTACCGAAGAAACATACACAGAAGCACCTAGAGACTTCCCACACCATTACCCAGCCCATAGCTCTGCCGGCCACTTGGGCATGATACGAGACTTTTCCATCGAGTCATTACTAAGGGAAAATTTGTACCCTAAAACGAACATTCCAGAAAAGAGGCCAGCCCTATCTCCCTTCACACCAGGCTTCTTTCCCCACCTGTGGCATGGAAATTTCAGTTCCTTTTCCCAGCTAGAAGAGCAGCAAGTGGACAATGGCCCTTTGGACCTGGTGATCAAAAAGAGGAAGATTAAGGAGGAGGAGAAGGAGGAGCTCCCTCCGGCTCCTTTCCCTAATGACTTCTTCAAGGACATGTTTGCTGGCAATCCAGGAGGTCACCTAGGGCACATTAAGGCAGAGAACGACTATAGCGCTTATCTCAATTTTCTAAGCGCCACCCACCTGGGAGGAGTGTTTCCTCCATGGCCCCTGGAGGAAGAAAGGAAGATAAAGCCCAAGGCATCTCAGCAGTGTCCGATCTGTAACAAAGTCATCATGGGGGCAGGGAAGCTGCCACGGCACATGAGAACCCACACAGGAGAAAAGCCATACATGTGCACTATCTGTGAAGTTCGCTTTACCAGGTGTGCATGAGTTATTACTGTTGGATTTAGCAATGCAGCTACAAAAGGGGGATGGTGCCCTAATAAAGCATTGATGGATTTACTGAGTCCAGCAATACAGGTTGCTAACCATAAATGCTATTTATAGAGATCACTTACTACGCGTGAGCCTGTGGCAGGTTAGGGCCTTAGTAGACAACGAGAAAGATCTCAGTGAAGCTACTCCATGGAGACATAGGCATTTAAGCAATGTCTCCTTCCACTTAAGAGTAAAGTGGATATCAAGGAAATAGGGGCCTGACCCAAAGCCCATTGAAGTCAATGGAAAGACTCCCATTGATTTTAATGGGTTTTCGATCGTCTATCCTAGCCCAGGCAGTATGGGATAGCTGTGTTACAGTGCTATGTTAGGAAGGAAACTGGTCATGCCATGTCATTCATTGCATACCGGGCATGCTTTTATTATCCTTATTTATTCAGATAGTGATGTAACTGACAGCCTGTCAATTATCCAGATAGCTACTAACCAGACAAGAGTGTAAATAAAGGTATGTAACATTTTCCAGCTGGTCATTGTTTACCAATGTGGAATCCACTGTGGAAGCACTGCAGAAAAGGGTGTGTGACCAAGACCGGTGAAACAAATCAATGGATGTTTCTGGCTAAAATGTTTTTGGCTATCTAGATAATCTAGGGGCTGATTCAAAACTCACTGAAATCAATGGGAGTCTTTCTGTTGACTTAGTGGAATTTGGATCAGGACTCTGTTTTCTTGTAGTTCACTGGCAAGCCTTGTCTATGCATTGTGTTAGAAAGCGCATTAACTAGCACCGGATTAAACATGGTTGTGGACTGGGTGTGGACCACAACCAGCTACCACCTGTTTAAACACAACTGTCCTTGTCCATACTAAGGCTGAGAACATGCTAATTATAACATTGTTTTCTGTCTTGTTGTAGCCGTGTTGGTCCCAGGATATTAGAGAGCCAAGGTGGGTGAAGTAATATCTTTTACTGGACCAACTTTTTGTTGGTGGAACAGCAAGCTTTCGAGCTACACAGACAGACTTCTTCTTCCCAGACCAGAAGAAGAGCACCCACCTTCTCTCTCTAATAACATGTTAGTTACCAGGTTTTCTAACAGGGTGCATGTTCCCAGTGGAGACAAGGATGAAATCAGCAAGCCTGGGTCCAAATTCTGTGCTGGTTTACACCCTTTGCACCTCCATTGACTTCAGCAGGGCCCTGGGAGGATATAAATGAGCATGGATTAGGCCCATTGTGCTCTAAGTCGGCGACACAGATCTCTGATGCAGCACCATGCAGCTCGTCTCTGAAAAGCTTGGCCAATTAAATCCACGAGCAGAGAAAAACAGATTCCTGGATCTGTTCTTGCTGAGTATAATTAATATCTAACAAGTAGAATCTTTACCATAATAAAGATTTCTGACAAGAGCAAGGTATTTCAGCTTCTGGCTGTGAGGGAGAGAAAGCCCTGTTAGGCTTGGGGGAGCGAGCTGTTGAAAATAACATGAACAGTCGGAAGAGCAGAGCGCCTGACAATGGGCAGATACCTGGGGTGCATCAGCACTCAGCCTGCCTTTTCTTCCTTTGTCCCTGTGATAATGTTCAAATGCAGTCTATGCAGATGATGGGGATTTGACCTGAAAATAAATGTCCCTGCCATGCTACATTAACACAGCTGATATCGCATTCTAATATGTTGCACATTGTACCGCAGGCCAGTGTAGACAACGTGATCTGGCTAACCCTGATGTTTAAAGGGAAAGGCCGATTGCCTGTGTTAATTAATGACTGCAGGCAATTTGTTCCTACTGTCGCTCTCGCCCCACCCCTATTTACATGTAATTGCTATTGAAAAACGCCGTATTGTTTGCACTGGACACATACAACTTCCATTTAGCTACATAATAGGGAGCAATAGTACAAACTTCCCAACCTGCCCTGCAAGTATGCCTCACCCCTGACCTGTAGGGACTGTTTTCGTTTTCATGCCCATGCAGTGTTTGGCAGCCTCTCTGTTGAGGCCACTGCCATTAATGCCCATTACCACCAGGTGTGGTTGCACTGGTGCTGTGGATAACTGTCCATAGGGAAAGTAGCTAAGACCACAGACACACTTCACACGCACCATCAGACATACCTTGCTCTTATATAGAATTTTTCGTCCATATTATTTATGTGATCATAGAACCTAGGAGCCCCAGTCATGGACCAGGACCCCATTGTGCTAGGTGCTGTACAAACCATAGATCTCAAAGCACTTTACAACGATGGTCAGTATCATTATCCCCATTTTACAGATAGGGAAACAGAGGCTGTCCAGGAGCAGACTAGGGAATAGAAGCTAAGGGTTCTGCATCCCAGTATAGTGCTCTGACCACTAGGTTATACTGCAGGTTGAACCAACAGCCTGCCAGTAAGAAGCTCCATATTGCATTGCCTATCTGTGTCTCCTTCCAGTCTTCTCCCAAAACTCATATCTATCTGCAACCAGCTATAAGAGTATAATTGTTAACTGAACATAATTGGTATGCTGTAGCTTGTGGCAGCTTATGTGCCATCCAGGGGACTTTGTTCATGGAGAAGACGCTACATTAGAAAAACATTCTGGAACAAATTCTGATCTGGGATGCACATGTGGTCCCCATTGACTTCAGTGGGAGCTGAGCGTACAGCTGAGACAGAATTTGTCCCTTTAGCGAGCAATTCCCGTAAAATGAGAAATGACACTTAATGGTCTCTTTATTGTTATTAATCATTTATATTGTGGTAGCAATTAGAGGGCTCAGCCAATTCCACGTCCCAGTGTACTGCATGCTGCACGTGTATTTATATTAGCTCCTTCCAAACTCACTTGAATATGGATATAGCTTTTCCAGAAGTTGTGGGGTGAGATTTTCAAAAGTGCTCAGCTTTGATCTGACTTTGCTCTCATAGAAGAACATAGAACAGAAACAGAGTTAGTCCAATGCAGGATGCTTTCCACCAACTGCAATGGGAGCAGAATTAGGCCAGGGCCAAGTACTTTTAAAAATCTCACCTGTCTATTTGACGATGAAGGGCAGATTTCAATTTGGGCAGGAAGGGCTTGATTCTGAATACCCTCTGGGTGTACCACTCCCACTGAACTCAGGACTTGGGCCTTAAGTGTTTTCTTATGTCATATTGTGTGCAATAATATAGACAATTGAGAAGATATTAAATCCGGAGATGGACAAAACAGAGACTGGTTTGGTTTTGTATAACCACCACCACAGGTGGTTCTGATCCAGGACCCAGTTATCCAAACTTCAGAGTTCAAAGAGGATTGGATTGTTCTGATTTTATACCACTGCAGTATAAGGGTACTGTATTACACATTCTGCTTTCACACATCAGATAGTCTATATTACATGATTTCTAAATTCATACCGAAGAAGCAGAAGCTAGAAAATGGGTAGCAAAGAAAGTCAAGCAAAACTAAAGCCCTAATCCTGCCTAGAATTATGCAGTTATGTAACTTTACCGCCATTGACTGCTATTTGGTTGAGTAAAGTTTGCATGCCTACGTTTTTGCAGGATCTGCCCCCCTGAGATCATACCATCTAATCACACAACACGAAAGCCTTTTTTCCCCTCTCTGATACACTGAACAAAGTGGCACCTTAGAAACTAACCAATTTATTTGAGCATGAGCTTTCATGAGCTACAGCTCACTTCATCGGATGCATACCATGGATACCGATGTTTCCACGGTATGCATCCGATGAAGTGAGCTGTAGCTCACGAAAGCTCATGCTCAAATAAATTGGTTAGTCTCTAAGGTGCCACAAGTACTCCTTTTCTTTTTGCGAATACAGACTAACACGGCTGTTACTCTGAAACCTGAACAAAGTGGGCATTTAAAAACCTTGAGATTTTTGTAAAGGGTTTGAAATAGCTTTAATGCGCAGGGGGAAAAGAAGGCCAGGTATGTTTTTACTGTAATATTGGTTTAATGTTGATTAGTTGTGATTAGTTTTTAAACCCAGACTAGAGTGGTTGTGATGCCCATGGAAGAATTCCTGAGCAAACATCTGCCAAGTGTTGCTGCAGTGCTCTGGGAACACTGCAGAACTCCGGGAATCCCCTCCAGCTAAAGAATAGATTAAGGCCCCCATTCTGCAGCTGGATCTGTGAACTCTTGTTCCTGTGTAAATCTGATTGCAAGAAACAGGGCTAATTTAATAGGACTTTGTTGTTGTTGTTGTTTTGTTTTAAATGAAGATTGCTTAGACTCTAGTCTGATTTTTGAAGGTTTGGAGGACTAGAGAAAACTGACAATGTGTTAGCTGTCCTGTTCGCTGCATTGTAGCCATGTTGGTCCCAGCCAGGCCCACAGTTCTCAAGGAGAGGGTCTTCAAGCCAGAATGACTCCCTTTTTTAATTTGTTGTTATTATTGGTGTTGTGGTAGCAAACAAGGTCCTAATCAGTATCATGGCCCTTGTGTGCGAGGTGCTGTATACACCCCCAGATAGACACCTTTCTGCCCCAAAGATTTTATAATTTAAATCCTCAGTTCTTCAAAGACTCGTGCTTAACTTTACACACCGAGTGTTCCCATTGAATTAAAGGGGGACTTTCAAAGGCAAACACTTGGATAAGTCTGTGCAGGAGTGGGGTCTCTTTTGAAACTGGGTGCATTCAGTGAGTGTGACAAACCAAAAAGAGAGAGGGTGGATAAGAAAGGTAAGATCCAGGGGTTCCGTAAGTTACATTTGTGCATCTCCTGATGCTTTCAAATCACCTGAAAGTGCTTTAAAAAGAAAAAAAAAAGTAAGCTGATAATTTTTATTAAAAAATAGAAAAACAAGCCAGTAAAACCCTCCTGCTGTATAACACATTGGCTTCTATTAACAGCTATCCATAGAATACTCCTGTAACTCACATTGTAGAGGCATGTGCAGATTGTATCTTACTGACAGTTGTTCGTAATGGTCTGAATCAGTTGTGTCTGTATCTATAATATACAATTCTGG